GGGGGGGCGACAATCCTTGCTATCCGAAAACCAAACTGTATGTAATGCATGGAACATTCATTTTTATCCAGTCTGATGTGAATTTTATGTAAATGGGTTAAACAAGAGTGAAGATAGAGAGAAGTACGAGATGCCGAGAACTAGGATGACAACACTGTGAAAATGGTGAAATGGTATGGGTTTAACGCCCCTATCAACTCTGTTAGGTTATTTAAGAGGCGGGACCTCCGATTTTAACGTCCATCTCCGAAAGGACTGAGCCAAGTGGGAAATTCGTGTAAAGTGCCTTTCCCAAGGACACAACGTCGGACGAGCTGAGGCTCGAACCCCCGAACCCGTAATCTTACGATTACGAGTCCGGTAACCTAACCACTAGGCTACCGACGCCACCTTGACAACACTGTGTGCCCACAAAAGGAGAGAGACAGAGCCCTCAGTACAGTGAGACTTGTACACCTCAGACGGCTGCCACAGTAACATCAAAGGGAACTAAACTCACTGATACTGTTGTCCGGCAGGAAGTGGGCCATTGCAGAAGTCAGTGCCGGTATCAGAACAAGAGTTATCCTCCCCAACTGTGAATACGTATTGCCTCCCTGGCGTTCCTGGAAAAATAAAAACAACAACAACCAATATGTAGAGGAACAAAAGTTTAGTTTTAATAAGTGTTTTACGGCATTTGCATCACAATAAGGTCATATAAGTGCCGAAGATTAGAGGTGTTACAAGACAGTAACAAACACAAAAAGAAGGAGGAGAAATAAGGACGATAGATGTTTGATAGGAAAGAAGAAGCAACCCACACTAGAGCACCCGCCAACCACCCACGAAAAAAGGGGGATTATGAACAGGCAGAAAGTTGCTGCAGGTATGGCAATAACAATGACAATCTTTGACAATCTTTAACAATCTTTATTCACCTCGCAGGGAGAAATTTGTCTTGGTCCTTAACAATGGCACTTGACGTTACAAAAGTTAGACCTAAAGGTGCACTCACGCAAACGCACAACAAAACAGGACATTAGGTCTAGTAAATACATGTCTCACATGCTGGAACAACCCGCTCCGTAAAACATTCTCTCTCTCTCTCTCTCTCTCTCTCTCTCTCTCTCTCTCTCTCTCTCTCTCTCTTTCTCTCTCTCTCTCTCTATCTTTCATTTGTAGGACTGTGTGTTCAGCAACCTCACTGCAGTTGGTACTAATGAATTTATATATCTGTTTGTTCTTTCTTTTTTGGAAATGTATCGTTTACTGCGGGGCGATAGTTGAAATTCCGATGTCAGTGGGTTATGGTATGACATGAAATACAAAAGTACTAGGTTTCTGTTTGTGTTTTTTTTTTTTTTTTTTGGGGGGGGGGGGGTTGTTTTTATTTGTTTTGTTCTTTTTTGCACCTAGAACGAGAAACATGGGGAGGGTAGTGACGACTTGCTGAAAAATGATTCATTTCTCAAACCGATTCATGTACTCTCTTAGCTTTAATTTAAACTCATTACAATTTCATTTCAATATTAAAAGTTGGTAAATCTTTTAATAACAAGCTCAACTTCTTCAGTATAAGGAAAGTTCGACACCAAAATTTTCAATTTTAGAAACCTACGACTTTGCTGTGAAAGGGCCCTTTCATCCGGCAGAGCCTTCATTTTGTGATCCTTTCATCCTTACAGAGATCTTGTTGATCCTTTCACCCTTACAGACTTTCATCCTTACAGAGATCTTGTTAGTCACGAGCCCTCTCTGCTGCAGACTACGACAATTCCAGTAGAGAATCCTAAGATTACTCTTTCCCAACCGCTGACTCTTTCACTGTGTCTTTCTTGCTCTCGCCCTTCTCTTTCTCCACCTCCCATCCCTTTTTCCCCGTTTCCTTTTTGGTTTTGTTCCTGAAGAGGCGCTCGAGCAAGGACCACGAACACCGTAGCTCCTGCGAGAACCCTGTTTATTAATATTAATTAGATCTTTCATTGTGGGTTTGCAAAATACTGAGGAAGTATCCTGTCCATCTAGCAGAGCCTCATACTAGACAATGGCCTGGGAACCAGAAGGTTCGTCCGCCTGGTGCCGCCCCGCTCGCACGCCAGACGGTCCTCGTTTGTGACTGTACTCCCCACAGCCATGCAGCTTCTAGGCACGAAGATAACACCGTAAGCTTGGGTCGATGTCCTCCACGGATACTTGGGGGTGCTGTCGACAGGTGGTGCTCCTGGATTCCACCCTCGACCTCCTTAGGCTTCGGGATTTTTTATCAAGGTTGTCTGCTTCAGATCATTCGTATTCTGTTCCTGGACCGCGATGTCTAGGCTTAACAAGGTCACCTCCAGAAGGGGGAACAGCTTCAGTGTGCTCCACCACCCGAGTACCCCAACTTCTGACACCCTCGGTCTCCCTGCTGACCAACAAGCACGCGCACAGATCTCTCAACAATGGCTTTGAATTGACACCACTCTCAGGTTGGAAACAAAAACGTCTGTCCAATTCTAAGGTACCGCCCTACCAAATATGGCCTACTGCACAGGTGGCCACATTCCAGCCCGAGCGATCCTCCCTCACGCAACACTTCCTTCCTCCTTGCAGACTAGCCTATTAATGTTGAATGTTTTGACAATGACGCACGCTTACTTCCGGTCGGCGCCAGCAAAATACCGCAGATAGAAATGCTGAGAGAATACTAACACAAATGCGCGAGTTGAATTATAGTCTGAGGCGGGAAAAAGGAATAAGGTCGCTCACAAAAAACCCCAACAAACAAACGCTTCTAGCAGAAAATTTTGCATTTGATTACTAGATCTAATCATGACTATGGTGACATGTCATACTTCCGGCCGAGATATGTGCTGTTGCCATCAAATGATTATCGTAAAAAGACCCCTGTTAAACGCTGAAATTGAAACCCTGATAAAAGAGCATAGCAAACAAGGAGATGTTGCGATCTTCACGAATGGATCAGTCAACAGAGGAGTCAAATCGGGCTGGGCCTTCAGTGTCAGAGTTGATGGGGTAGTAGTGAAAGAGCAAAGTGGAGCAACTGCACTGACAACATCGAGTATGTGTATGTAGATAAAGCCATAAGTGAAGCTCTACACTGGATCAAGAACACAAGCCATCAGTGAGCAGTAATCATTACTGACTCAAAGAGCGCACTACAGGAGGTACAGTAACGGATGCTGTATGTGGACTGGAAGGCTACGATCAGGGAGAGCAGCCTGGAAAGAGTGGCCTGGATCTTCTGCCCGGGTCACGTGGGGGTAACTGGCAGCGAGAGAGCAGACAAGTTGGCTGGAGAAGCAAAAGTGGGAGGGAATTTGACACTGGGCCCACCAACCGTCCTGACCGCCGTAAAGGAACATTTGAGGAAGAATAGGGCGGATAGCGGTTTCCACACTCTCGGTAGATTGAAGGAGAACGGGATCCAAAGAGGAGAGGGGAAACACAGCCATCTGTGCGGATCAGTCCGACGGATCTCCAACTAGATTATGATGGAGACTATAAGTAGACAGACTCTTTGATGGATCCTGAACAGGAGGGGAGAGCAGAGATGGACATGTTCCGACTACAGTGACCCCAACACAGTGGACAAGTAAGACAAGTAAGAGATCTTGTTAGTTGATCCTTTCACCCTTACAGAGATCTTGTTAGTTAATCCTTTCATCCTTTCAGAGTTCTCGTTAGTTGATCCTTTCATCCTTACAGAGATCTTGTTGGTTGATCCTTTCATCCTTACAGAGTTCTCGATAATTGGCCTTTTGACCTTAACAAGGCCCTCATTCATTGATCTTTTCACCCTTACAGAGATCTTGTTATTTGATTTTTTTCACCTTCACAAGAGCTCTCGAAGCTCTCATAAATCTGCCTTTTCACCCTTACAGAGCCCTCATTAGTTGGCCTTTGTACCCCAACCCCCATATTACTTGTTTCTTAAGACCTATCTACGGTACCTGGCAAGTCCCTGACCCACTGAGGGGGATATAAATAACTGAATTTGTATCTCCTCCACAACCAAGTCCAGTCTTACTTAACAGATCCTGGTGCCAGCCCCGTGGAGTGGCTCGGTACATGCCGGTAAATCCTTCCTTCTTAGCCTCGGCCCATGTCTTCAAACTGTCCACATCCACTGCCCGCTTTCTCCGGTCTGAAAGAGAAAACCATTTAATTTTAGTCTTAGTAAGAGTTTTACTGCACTTGCAACACAATAAGGTCACACAAGTGACGAAGATTAGAGGAGTTACAAGAGAGTAACAGACACAAAAAAGGAGGGGAGATAAAGACGCTAGCTGTTTGATAGGAAAGAAGGAGCAAACCACACCAGAGCACCCACCAACCACCACTACAAGAGAGTCATCATCATCCGGTGCCTTGCCTACTGGGGTGGGCGATCATGGACCTCCACTTCCATCTGTCTTTCGATGCAGCAATGGTGCCTGTTGTTCTTGCTGCTCCCAGCCATGTTGTCATACAAGAGAGTACCCAACACCAGAAAGAAGGAGCGGAGATAAGGACAATAGATGTTTGATAGGAAAGAAGGAGCAAACCCCAACAAAGCACCCGCCAACCATCCAAAGAGACACATTTACAAGAGATTGGGAAGTTGAAGAAAGTGACATCGATGAAACAAGAACATTCTCCAAATAACTTTAGACAAAATGTGTTCTACACCTTCATGGACACAATTTTCACCATTTAGGAGTTTGGCAGTTTCGACCCTGCAGAGTGGGATACAACATCCCGGCAGACAGACAACGTACCAGTTCACAGAATGACCAGCCAAATTACAGGCCAGTGAAGGCGCATAGAATTGACCGATTCCAAAAGTGCTCATACTTTGTCAGAAAGCTACTGAGCAATTTGTCCAAAAACTATATTTTCAGATACATGGCAGGTATCTTAGAGTTCTGCAAAATTATCAAACAGTTTTATATAATAATAATAGTAATAATAGATAGCATTTGTATAGCGCATATCCCCGCTCAACAGCAGGCTCTATGCGCTTTACACTATATTATTACCCCAGCAGACCATAGAACACTCCGAAACATTCTCAGCTTCCCGGGAAGCATACAGTGCGAGCAGCCGATTAAGCTCTCAAACACTAACAAACTGACAAGATCTTTCGCTGTCTATAGCTGGGTACCCATTCCCACCTGGGTGAAGTGAGGAAAATTCGTGTAAAGTGCCTTTCCCAAGGACACAACGTCGGGCCCTTGACGGGATTCGAACCCACGACCTTACGGTTGCGAGTCCGAGAGCCTAACCACTAGGCCATCGACGCCACTATATAACCTCCCCGTTATGTAGAAATTTGTTTTCTAGAGGCCAGTTTCAGAAAGAAATGTTGAAAAGAAGATCCTGGAAGCTTACGGTGCAAGTAGTCGATTAAGTTCTCAAATACTAACATACTGACAAGATCTTCCGGTATCCATTCTCACCTGAAAGAAGTGAGAAAAATTCTTGCAAAGTGCCTTTCCAAAGGACACAACATTGGGCCCCTGGAGGGATTTGAACCCATGACCTTTTGGTTGTTTACTGTTAGTATGAGTTTTACGGCACTCGCAACTCAATAAGGTCATATATAAGTGCCGAAGATTAGAGGTGTTAATACAAAAGAGTAACAAACAAAAAAAAAGGAGGAGAGATCAAGACGATAGATGTTTGATAGGAAAGAAGGAGCAAACCACACCAGAGCACCCTCCCTCCACCCACGACCTTTTGGCTGCGAGCCCCACAACCTTACTTGACAGAAAGAATTCTTTTCCTAAAACTTTTCACTTTTCACGACAGGAAAGAATTCTTTTCCCAAAACTTTATATTTTTCAAGACAGGAAAGAATTCTTTTCCCAAAACTTTTTCACTTTTCAAGACAGGAGATGCTCACCTGCCCCAGAGCCTCCACACTTATTCTTACAGACGACGAGAACAACTTCCGTCAAAGTTCCCTGTCTGCTGTTCAAATCTTTGAGACAAGACGAACACACAATCACTGGGAAAGACGTCAGGGTGGTCTTGCTGCCAGACGACTCTGCTGTGAAATCTGTAGCCGTATATTCACTCACTTCCGGGACTGTGCGGGGGGGGGGGGGGGGGTCAAATCAAAATAAACACAACAAACCAAAGTAAACAACACACAGAGGTGTCTGAATACTGATGTTCATAGATCTACACATCTACTTTCACATTTCTCAAATTCTATTAACAAACTTACAGTATCATATGAATTTTTAAAAACAAAACAAAAATTTACAGTTCATCAATATATAGAAGTTATGTAATTACGCATCGGAATATTATTGATATTACATAGAGTGATTCTACCTGCCTTATATTCTTGTTGCTGTAATCATGTAGGTAATCGTCAGTTGCCAGATGCACATTTCTAAGCTGACCACAATAGCACGAGCGGTGAGAAACTCTTGATTCTATCACGGTGACACAGAGGGTGGCAGCAGACATTATCACGGACGGAGTCAGTTGTACACATTCCCACAGTACACATTTTCACAGTACACATTACCACAGTACAAAACATTCCCACAGTACACATTACCACAGTACAACACAATCCTACCGTACACATTCCCAGAGTACACATTACCACAGTACGCATTACCACAGTACAACACATTACCACAGCACACATTACCACAGTACAACACACTACCACAGTATAACACATTACCACAGTACACATTATCACAGTACACATTACCACAGTACACATTGCCACAGTACACATTCCCACAGTACACAGTACAGCAGTACAACACATTACCACAGTACACATTACCACAGTACAACACATTACCACGGTACACATTACCACAGTACACAGTACCACAGTACACATTACCACAGTACAACACATTACCACAGTACACATTCCCACAGTACAACACATTACCACAGTACAACACATTACCACAGTACACATTACCACAGTACAACACATTACCACAGTACACATTACCACAGTACTACACATTACCACAGTACACATTACCACAGTACAACACAGTACCACAATACACATTACCACAGTACAACACATTACCACAGTACAACACATTATCACAGTACACATTACCACAGTACAACACATTACCACACATTATCACAGTACACATTTCCACAGTACACATTACCACAGTACACATTCCCACAGTACAACACATTCCCACAGTACACATTCCTACAGTACACACATTACCATAGTACACATTCACACAGTACAACGCATTCCCATAGTACATATTATCACAATACACATTACCACAGTACAACACATTACCACAGTGCACATTACCACAGTACAACACATTCTAACAGTACACATTACCACAGTACACATTACCACTGAGGGTTACAGTAGGCAACTTTGAAAAGAAAACTATTCTCCGACTGAATTCACTTACGTAGGGGGCTTATCACAATTTCTGACGTCACATAGCTGCTGTTATACTGTCCATTTGAAGCCATCACCTGAAAAAAAATCAAGGATAAGATTGACAACACGAGATCAGATGTTAGTCTTAGTTCAAGCGTTATGGCATTAAGGGATAGATTAGGCATGTGGGAACACTGGGGCCCGCCTGGAAAGGAGCCCCCCCCCCCTTTTTTTTTTAACTTTTACTTTCCTTTATTTTTCCAATCCAGCGACCATCTGAGATCGAACCCTTCGGCCTGTCGAAATGTCAAAGAATTTACTGGTGTTTATCAGCTGCCATTTTTTGCTGTATCGAGTATCTCCAACTCGTGGAGAGACAGGCACGTAGGTGCTACGCAGGTCACTACAGGGCTGGTGAAGAGGTGGTGTGATACTCTTTAACCTGACAATGGGCAGTCAGGTGGGGTATCCTTATGGATCCTATTTAGGTAGGAATCCAGTGGGATGTGTTGTGTTCGCAGGCGGAAGATCGTGACTTGTTCTCTTCTACTCAGGGAATTTAGTGCGTCTTTTGAGTTGGGGGCTGTCATGTGTGCAAATACAGTTCTTCCAGTTTTTCCCAATGCCTATCCATTCAGCCACTGTTCCCAGGTGTTGTATTTGATGATGTTCATGACTGTCTGTTGTGATGCTGAGTTTTGAGAGGCCCCCTTCCCAACTCTCCCTTTGGCACACACCACAGACTTGTAACCTTAATCCTACTATAGATTGTAAAGAAATACTATAAACATAATAGAATGTTGAACACAGATCTTGCTGTCAAGCGGGAATATGAGAAAAACAAATCGTATCTCTATCATAATGATTATTTTTTGAAGAAAGACAGTTCTCCAACTCCTTAATTGCACCGACCTTGAATGTGTAATGTGTTTGACTCTCCCCAACAACCACTTGTACAGGTGGCCGGAACACACTGTCGCAGGAAGTCGCTGGAGCAAACTGAACAACCTGGAAGAATGAACAGAGGAGATTTCTTAGTTGAAAGTCATGGACATCTGTATGTGCATGAGGGGTGGGGTGGGGCGGGGGTGGAAGGAGGTATCAGCACACGACACACTCTAAACAACGTGATGAATACTGACGAGGCACAGTGTATTGTCTCACAGAACAAAAAAGACGTCAATTTCTCTCTTTGTCTTTTAATTTTTTAAAGGACTAAGTTCCGCAAGCAGCTGTTCTAGTTGGAAGTCACCAACTTTGGCAGACATTTTCTCGTTAATTTAAATCTCTAACACCAGACACCAGGCAACCTCCACCAGCTTCAATCACAAATGTCTCAACTTCTATATGAGGTAGATGGGTCAAAGCCGAATGGTCCTTCAGGAAGGCTGACTGGTCGTTGTTCAATGCCTTCTTGGAAACAGAGACTTCGGCAAATGACATGCCTAACATGACGGACGCCACAAAATTAAACACGTGCCTTACTGAGGCCATTTTAAAAGTAGCCAAACAAAGTATCCCTAAGGGCGCTCGTAAACTTTCTAAACCCTTCTGGAATTATTAATTTTAACTCAACTGCCGGTCAGGCCCTCCGTGGTTATATATGGGATGCGCGCTAACCGATCCAGTCACTTGCGTCCAACTTTTGACCCGTCGGCACGTCTTCCTGTTCTACGAGAAGGAGGCACCGGTAGCGGCTAGTTTGTGCTCTTCGCTGCGGATTGTTTTGTGTGTGTGTGTTCCCCTGTCCCTTGTTTCCGAAGCGGATTCGGTAATGTATAAAACTTTTACAATTTTTTCTTGCATAAATTACTTGCATTATAATACTGCTATAATAAAATGTGTTACTTGCTGACTTTATTACCACAGCACATCGCCCCCACCCACGGTCTCGGATCCCCTTCAATTGGCTCTCTGAGCAATACTATCGCCTTCATAGGCACATTTCTTGCCCTCTGGGCTCCTCGGCATTGCCCTGGTGGCTTGGCAGGGTTCAATATTGTGTTTTATATAGTTAATCGTTTTTTTTCAAAACGAAGGACACATCATGGCGGACACTGAAGACATTTTGTCTGTACATGATCCCTATTGAGATGAGGATGAGATTCTTGCGGGGTCGGAGAGTGTTCCTGAACCTTCCACGAGCCGAGGCAGTGAACAAAAATGTATCACTGTTCCCTACTCTGCTCAGTCAGATACTGATATTATTCAAGATGTACTAAAAAGGAATGCGGAGGCAATGGAAGCATTGGTGAGGTCAATGAGTGCAAAAAAAGAAAAGAAAAAGGAAACGGTCTGTTTCTTCATCATCGTGTGAGTCCCCCATTCTAAAGCACAAAAAGAAACGCTATTACAAAAGCAGCGAGAAACGGACATGGAGAGTGAGCTGTGAGCGAGACCACCCAAGCATCTCATTCTAACCTTGAAGAGACCGGAAACGTGTTATCAGATGGCGAGATAATAGACGATCTGTTCTGCCCCCCTGACAATGACTATCGAGGGGAACGAGACGAAGGGGCGTTAGGTGCGGCAGGGGATTGGTTCGCGGAGGCGAGCAACGAATACGAGGTAGACGAAGAGATAACGGACCCTCTGTCCGAAAACCTCGCAAGCTTTGTGGAGAAAAGATTCTGCACAACAATGAAAGATGATAAGATGAAAGAAAAGGTAAGTAAATACAAAAGGCCAGGCAATTGTGAAGCGCTCCTGGTACGATAAACAAATCTGGCGATTTGGAAACTGTTACAAAGCGGGGGGGGAAAGAACGATGCCAAATACACCGCGATCCAGAAAACGATTGCAAAAGCGACTACTGCGGTGGCAAAGTGTGCTGACCTTTTGGTTAAGGATGGTGAAAGCAAAAGGCCCATTGTCCAAAAGTTATTGGACGTTATCTCTATCCTGGGACACTCCCAGCAGAAAATCACCAACCGCAGAAATGAAGCACAAAGGTGGGCCATGACCATGAAGGGTATCTCTGACGTACCAATTGACGGTACTAAATTCCTCTACGGGGACGACATAAAGAAAACTATTCTAGATGCGAACGAACAAAGAAAAATGGTGCAATATTCCTCCCCACGTGCCACTCACGCTTACACCTCAGCGTACGGCAAACCTGCTCAGCGGGACAGAAAGAGGCATTTTTTCCCCTATCAGGCCGTGGGTCCGTCCGGCCAGAGGGGGCGGGGCTACGCCCACAGACCCTCAGCGAGCCACGCGGCAGTGGCGAATAAAAGGAAGTAACTACGACTATTGACGGAAATATGGTAAGTATGAATGACATTGAGGTAATAAAAAGATTATTGGA